CTCTGGAGCAACATCCTTCAACTGTGCTGATGCCCACAAGCAGTTGGACAAGTGTTGAGGAATCATGTCACCAGCCTTGCTTTGAATTCGGGCAGCCAACGCTGGCACGACCTTCAGTACATCAGGACTGACATCCTTTAACTGCGCTGATGCCCAGAAGCAGTTGGACAACTCCTGTTCATCCATGCCAGGCGCTTTCTCAGGAAACACTTTTATCAATGCTGGCAGCAACTGAGTGGTTCCGGGAATCGCGTCAAATAATACTGCCATTGCCCAAAGCACATTGGCCGAAGCCTGTGGGTTGATCTGCTGTGACATGATAATGGCGTTCACCCGAGTATGAAGCTTGGGCAGCACCGGGCTTTCACAAAGTCCTTGCAGCAACCCCTTCCGATGAAACTTTGCCAATGTGTGATATGCTGCTGAGATGTGGAAGTAGTTGAAATCAGGAAAATACACGGCCTCATTCAACACATCAAGCAACTCGGCAGCTGTCGAAGCCCTAGTGATTCTGCGGGTCAAATCCTTGATAGCCTTCTCACCTCCTGTTGAAGATGAAAAGGAACGTGACTTTCCACCTCCTGACAACTTGGAATCACTTTTCTTTCGCCACAGCGAACCTCTTCTCTCCCGCACCAGCATGGTAGTCCGAAGCGGTCGCTCGCCATGGGGTCGAATTTGGCCCACAGCTTGGCCGGCATAATTGAGGGGCGGCACTTGGAAGCACAGCAGCCACACCAGGCAGCTCGCAAACACGCATCTCTTGCAGCCCCTCGGCTCTGCCAAACGTGTTGCCAATGGTTTTCGGCTTGCCTTCAACGCGGACATGGCTGGACAAAATGCCCGACAAGCTTCGAAATACATGTTCCGCGCCCTTGACACATCATGTCAATGGTGAGATTGTCTGAATATGTCTGAATCTGCATGTATCAACCGTTCTGTGCCTAATCTGCAAGCCATGACAGCTGGGAAAGCTGTTGCTATGTGGATGCAGTCAGGAAGTGGCAAACATAACACATACGATCACACCAAACGCCGATCGCCTCCAGGGGATGTTGAGAGAAAACAGCTGGGTTTCAATGATCTCTAGGTTGATGCTACCAATCCCAAGGCTTCAGCATTTGCATCATGTGATCCGAAACGGGAAAGCAAGGGCATCATGCTTGCTGCTTGCCGCTGATGGGTCCAACCCCTCCAAAAAGCTTCTTGTTTCACTCATTACCTCATTCCTCCTCCTTCTGATATTGCTGCTCTCGCGTGCCAACACCCCATCACCACCACCAACCCGCCGCACTCAGCCCGCCGGGTTTCGAAGAGGTATTGATAGCCACGGTGAGCAGAAGCACCCGGAGCATGTGCATGGACGAATGGATGAAGCAGTAGGACAAGACCTCCAAGCCACGGCAAGGTAAGTAACGGCGGATGGCTCCGGAAGGACCCTTCTGCAACAGCCAATGTTCCTCTGTCATGTGGGTGGGGTCATTCTGGCACAAAGGTTCTTTACAATATGAACTTGGTGGACTGATGCTGAGAGGATATACCCCAAGAGTAGACTGGGGCTTGGATGATATGGTTGTAGGGCCGTCTCATCTTTAGACATCAACAGCATGTGCGCGCTCGCTTTAGCTCAAGGAGAATCAACGCCACGAGTCTGGGGCCAATCGAGGCTGTTATGTTCTGTAGTGATGTGTCCACACTGTGCGAATTCCATTCTATGGTTGCCGTCATGCCTCAAACTCTTTTTCTGAACATGGTGATTGGTCGCGACTTTTGCTGGAAAGTTGTCCTCCGGTAGACCACATCCTACCCCCGAAAAGTATACTCGACATATATATTATAACTTGGCATTCCAACTTCTACCCTCCTTCCTTCCATCCCTTCCATTGCCTTCCCCAAAATCCACCCCCCTCAACCACCCTCCCCCGTGCCAGCAGGTACTGTGGCAGCAGCTCCACCGCACCGGCTCCGCCCGACGCCCCCGTCGCTCGGGCCGCCAGGAGGTCGAAGAGATCGACGCCCACCGAGCGAAGCGAACGCTCCGCGAGCTCCTGGAGACCAGCGGAAGCGTTTGCGGCGGGTTTTGGGGTTCGGAAACGGGTGCCGCGAGGTGGAACGGAGAAGCGTATGGAGGAGCCAAACGCCCTTGGTACCGCCCATATTCTTGGCTCAAATCCCAAAAGTTTTGGGAGTTCGTCGGATTTTGCCAGCATCATTTGTTAGAAGTCGTTGGGGGGCAAAGCATGGATTGGTCGGAAACCAACCAAATCAGCGTGCTGAGAGATGCCAAGGTTCCAACATGTTGAAGAAGACGTAAAGCTTCAAAAAGGATTCACCTAAAGCAGCACGTCACCCAACGGATGCGGATGCTTGACAAAGGCCCTGCAGCACTCTGGGGTGCCTGGAAATGGGCTAGCCTCAAAAATACGCACATCCAAAATACTTGCCTGTCCGTGTTCGAAAGAGAAAACACCCAGGAATTGTTTCCAACATGTTCAAACAGCCCAAATCTCTTCAACAAAAAGTGTGGGTTCCACTTAATGGGTGTGGCAAACCTTACTCAGCATTGATCTACTCCTACTATCCCTATAGTGTGTGGAAATCCGAGTCCTGTGATTGGTTGCTTCTTCTATGTATTTTTGTATTATAAAGCTCGAAGGATACTGCGGTACACCCAAAATGTGTCCCACCCAACAGAAACACTCACAATGATAGAAGGCCTTGAGCGGGTGCCCCTTTCATAGCCCCCTAGTAGGGTGGTTCATCAACACCCCTGCTGGATCCTGGTCAATGCCATGTATGATATTCTTGGTGATCTAAGTTTCTGTAAGCTCTCCACTCCAAGTCTCTCAAGCTCTTTCTTTGTGGCCAGCCGCCACGGATGTAGTGATACACCCAGGAGTTACTGAAGAACATCGATTGCAAGGCCACGTTGGCAAGCAGTAAACCTCGTTTGGCGCGGCAAGAAGGTGTGGAAACGCATACGACAAAATCATCGCAACGACAAAACCCGTGGATGGGGCAAGTTGGAGCTACAGTGGGGAGGCTATGGGAATCCAGAACATCCAGAACTAGATGTATCCCAAACACGACTAATGGGAATGCCATCTGACTGCCGATCAGTTGGGGTGGTGCCAGGGGGGTCAATGTAAGCATATGTGGCATACATGGAGTGTCTGGGTATAAACTCCAGTTAGCTTTTAAAGAATTTAAAGGAAAGGAGTACCCGCGAAGCATCATGATTGTCTATATTTTTTGGTGTTTTTTTCATTGCTCCTCTTCATGGTCAATTCCACCAAGGCAGCCTCAAAATCAATCCATGACGATTCGTGAGGCAAATTCCCACGAACTCCAGGAATACCACCTCGCCTCGAGCCTCGTGCAACATCGGCAGATTCTGCATAATATCATCCGAGCAAGGCTGTCTTTTGTCAAAGTGTTCTTTGACCCTAAAAATAGATTAAACAGTGAGTGGGTAGACTGGAACCTCCAAAGGCGCTTCCTTGCTCAGAGGCCCCATCTACTAGGTTGCATGGTGATGGGGAAAGGAGTCGGTCGTCTTATCCAGCGAATCTCCGACCTCATGGCCCAATCTGACCCATCACAGAAAAAGACATCGTCTTCTCGCGGCGCGAAGACTGTTGGAACACCCCCGCCAGCCACTTGCCAACCATCACCATCCTCTTGCCAACCATCTATGTCAGCTTGCATGCCTCACCTCTCTGATCTCTGATGTAGCTTCTGGACCCAGAAGAGCCAGCTGCTAACCCAAGTGGCTCAAACGAATCAAATCACACTTCTCCGTGATCGTCACCGCCGGTGCCGCACGTCGGGACGCGCGGTTGGTCCGGAAGACTTGGCGCAGGAGCGCACAAAGCACCTGAGGCGCGGTTCGGGGGCGGAATTTTGTGAGAGTTTGTTTGATGACTTGATTGATTATATTTAATCGAATTTGGGTAGCTTTGTGTTTGACCTTAATGTGTTTAGTGTTCAACCTCTGCAAAGTCATAGTTGTTTGATATTGTTTGATGACGTGTTTGATGTTATTATTATGGCTAGCCATGGGTCATTTTGCCCCCCGTTTTCTGTCAAAAGAATCCTCGAAGGTCACGGTCACCTCGCTTGGTAACAGGGAGCTTAGGCGCAATTATGTTGGTCGCCACTCTTTGTGAACGATGATGGTTAGTGACAAACTATTAACCAAATGACATCAATTAGCTGTTGGCTAGCAACTGTCCAACTGGGATGGGTGTCACAAAATAAGGCGCAAGCCTCCAAAATCCTTGTAAAAGCCGATGAACATGATTGAACACCAATTGGCTAATTAATCACCTGATCAACCATGGACAAGAATATGACAACGCCAAATACCAGTCCCCTCACTCTGCTCTTGGTCTCCTCTTCCTCGAGGGTTGGGAAGCCTTTTTAAGAGGTCTGAATTGGTGACCTGTTCAAAGTCTGGTGCTGATAAGGTTCCATATGGTCCCTACAAGTCAGCTTGACCTCATTTTACTGGAATACAAAACCAATACTTAAGGAGGTAAAAGACCAGGTTTTGCTGGGTCTTGGGGTTATATTGCTTTGCGAAGGTTTGCACCGTGGGTCTCCCACCCCCGAAGGTTTCCTCTTCCCAGCTTCGCCTGGAGGGGCATGAAGCTAAGCTCATGGAGGAGGATGTCGAAGCCTCAGGAGCTAACACTGAACTGCTCCTGTCCAGTCTAGCAGAAATGCATTCCTCTAAGAATCATGGAATGTAGAGGACCTTTGGCAAGGCAGTGTCATGTTTTGTTCTTCGGATGCTGTTGGTTCTTACTGCGTAGTTTAGACGAAAAATAAGGGTCTAGGAGTCTAGGTGTACAGCAAACTGGGTGCAACAAAGTCTCTAGTTTGGTTCTTGCAAGGGTCCAGCTCCACACCAAAACTACTTATAATTGATATATGATATATATATATATGTGTGTGTGTAATTGACCATGACTCTGACCGTGTCTAGGGTGACAATGAAGCACTACGCGGCCTTGCCAAATCGGCTGCATATCACCACAAAAAAACGCCTGAGTCATGTACAAAGGTCCGCTGGAGGGTTCTCCCCACAAGCACAATGACAACAACTACCACAACGAGCCCGACAACACTGGCTTTCATTCACCTGGACATCCCCAATTCCTAAGGCTGAAGCACCTCCAACTCCCTCCAAACAGGACACCACACCCCTCCTCGCACCTAGCACCACCAAGCCACTGCGCCCAAAAAGAGAGGCACCCAGCCCACCCTTCCGCCCCGCTGAGATTCTAAAGCACGTTTTAGATCGTTTTAGGCACTTTGTTTCATTGACTTTAATCAGCATGCCCTTGACCACCCAGCCCACCAAATCTTCTCGAGATTTGTGTTTCGGCATACCAGGAATTAGCCCGCTATGCGTGCCGAATCTGGGGCCCAAGGAGCACAACAAAAAGCCGAAGGCCAAGACCTTCTCCAAACGCAGCGGAACGCGCGCCACCTCCAACAGATGACCTCAGCCGTCCGCGCAGCCGTCCGCGGAGCTCCCGCTCGACCGCTCGACCGCTCCGGAGTTCAAACACGCAGGTCCAATAGGATGCGATGCCATCACCTCAAACCTTGAACCGTGAGGATCACGCCAGGATTACAGTAAATAGACATGAATTCAAGCGCATGACAAATCATGCTCAGCATGATGCTCAGCACCTCCCAATGCCATCCACCCACCAGGGAGTCATCCTCATCTTGAAATTCTACTTGGCTACACGGCCCTCTGTGTCATTGCGGGATACTGACCGCTTGGTGTCGCAACATTTCGTGGACCTCTCGGGCTCTGAACACTGTCCAAAGTAGCGTCCTTGCTCCTAGTAACGATGCCAGGAGGCCCTAGTAGCGAACATTGTTCCCCTAGAGATCCAGTTGTACCTTCTGGTTCGGTATCCTCCTGGACCCGACTGGCTGGCGCCGAACAGTGTCCAACACATCGAACGCAGCTGAAGTACGGTACGAAAACGGATTCCTATAGGGACATGGCATGCCATGCTTCAAAAAACCAAAGGAGTCGTTAGGAGCCCCTTGGTGGTCGACCCTTTCTTCCTCTTTCGTCCCCTTTTTGGCTTCACTCCAAGTGGCTTCGGGGCACCTTGGGCAGCTGCGCTTCATCGGGGCGACTCCGCGTTTCGTCGCTCAGCCACCACCAGAAGTTCGGCGACGGCGCGACCGGCGCGACCGGCGGGACCGGGACGCTGTGCCCGTGTCGGTCGGGGTGGTTGGGCAGCGCCAAGGCCTGCGGTCCAAGGGAGGTGACAAAAGGTGTGGCATCGTATGGCATCGACTGGAACAACGTTATTATATTTCTATATATCCCTAGGGATCCAAGTACCTTCTCAGAAGGCACCTGGACCCTCCAAACCCACCCCAAACACCTTCTGAGAAGGTATTTGGATCCCTAGGGTATGTCTTATTATTTCTTATATTTTAAGTGACAAGTGACTGGAACGTCTCTGTTTGATCTTTCGGGTGAATGGCCCTACCAAGAGAACCCAAAACCTTTAAAAAAGCAGGTCGCAAGGACAAAACCAGGTTTTTAATGAAAAAAACCGGTTCTTGAATTCATACGTTTTTTCAATATTTCATCATGTATACACCCTCTCATTCAGACACCACAAACATCCCGCGCGCACACAACTTTTCTTGCTCACCCCAATCATCCTTGAAGATGAATCCCCGATCATCCTTTGATGAACCCTGCGTCCGTCCAAGCCTTCAATGCCACACACAAAGATCGCTCCAACACACGAACGATGACCTGACTTGCAGCGACCCTTCTGGCAAGTCGGGACTTCTTGCCCACCAGGTCTTCACTGAGCTGGACAGCGAAGGTGAGAGGATTGAAGGTCCATTCTGCCGTGGCCTCCGCGCACTCTAGAAAGACATGGTGGCAGACATGGCTCTTAGGCATATAGATATACAACGCCTTGCCCTCGTCATATGCAAGTCGAGCTAGGCGCTGATAGCAACTCATGAACTTCAAGCCATGCTGCCCAATCCGATGAGCGGCTTCACGTTTCAGCCACACATCTGCACGGTACAGTTGCTCCATGCATGTATTCAACGATTCAGCTGCCTCTAGACTCGTTGTCAGGAGTGGACAATCGCTCACATCATTCACATTCGCACGAAGCCACCATGCCACAAACTTCATGAAGGCCGTGGTGATATGTCCCTTCGACCACATCCCGTTTGGGAAGGTCATCCGGTCAAACCATCCAAGTGTATCTTTGCTGATGCTCGTGACATATGGTGTCACCTTACACTCCTCACACCACTGAAGGAAAACGTTGGTCAGCTCTGAGAATCTTCCATCAATGTTTGTGCTTTCCATTCGGTCCGAGATCAAGGCTAATGCCGAAGCAGTAAAAGTCTTTCCCATTCCAAGATGAAACGAGTGCCAGACATCATACGTAAAGAAAGCAGCTTCGCGATCAGGCTCATGGGGGATGCCAAGCAAGGTTGGTCTTTTTGTGAAAGGGACATCGCCTTCCTCAAACATCGTGCTTTTCCAACATGGGTTTGGCCCAAAGTCCTCGAAGGGCACGTTGATCTGACCAGCGCGGCAGTAGTGGCAGATTCCGTGAGGGTTCGAGTTCAGGCCTCGAGGACGCTTTTCCACGTTCGAAAAGCTTCTTCCAAGGTTGCCGGCTTTAGCCAGAAAGGCCCAATCACCAGTGCAATTGATTACAGCCATATAGTGCCTCTCACCATGATTGCTTTGCACACCACTTCGGATCATAGACAATGAATCCTGTGTGACAAATTGGAGGATGGTCTGGAAGGCAACTTCATCTTTCAGCATTTTCGGTAGCACGGCTGTGAGAAGATATGTCACATGAGTACTCTCGGAGTAGTTCAGCTTCATTGTTAAATATTCTCTGTGCTTCCTGAATTGGTTCGCAGCATGCGTCCCGAAGCCCAGCACTGAGTGGTATGAAGCTACTAAAAATGGAGCCCGCTTCCGTCCACGGCCTTCGTCGCCGTGAAAGACCATCGGACAACATCGGGAGAGGTCTACATTGTTCTTCTCAAATTCCTCCCAAAGCTGGTGATGCGGCCTCAAAGCCTTGAAGCGCTGCCAGAAAGCTGACAAAATGTCACACTCCCTTTTGGGATTTGGCCTGTGTAGCCCAAGCATCACGTGCCAGCAGTCATGATCGATCATGAATTTGCACCAATCTCTTAGAGATATTGCTTTAAAGTCTCCTGTGAAACGAATTCCAGGGCTTTTGGGCAAGTTACTCAATTTCACTGGCAAGAGAAGTTGGTACTTCCTGGCAACTCGATTGACATCCCTTTCGCTGTGGGATTCGGTGCACTTGCCTAACTCTACGAGTCCACGGCTTCTAGCTGCAGTCTGCTCTCCAAGATCTGACACTATGTTCTTGGCGGCACGAATCGCAGCACGGCAAGTCGAGGCCTCAGAGCCGGAGAACGGTAGCATCGTACGCAAAGGCAACCAAAGGTTTTTGGAACAAACCTGCATGAGTGTATGAAAACCTGAAAGTGAGTGCAAACAATATACGGCTTGCATGCAAATCTCTCAAACAGCGCTGTTCATAAAGAAAGGCAGGAGTTGGCTTTTGCAATTGCATTCCTCATGCGAGTGTCTCCTCAAGTGCACCCACCTCTTTTGCTTTTGCGTGCCATGCACCCCCGTATGCAAGACATACAACATCCCACCCCCTATATATATAAAACTCTTTGTCGCACATTGATTGGAGTCATGTTTGTCTTTAATATAAATTGAAGGTTTTGCCGGTGGTGGGTGAGATGTTCCAAGTCCTGCCGTAGAAACATCACATAGGCTTGAACTTGAAAGATCTGTACACCACATAGCACATATGTGCCCCACTAAAAGCAGTGCTCACAGTATCTCCGCCAAGTTTGATGTTCTTGCACCCCGCTTTACCTTGGACGGCTGCTGCTGCACCCCGTGGGCTAAATCTTTAGGTTGTTGAACCATGCGTTTGCATTGAAGTGCAAACAAACAATGGAGAAATATGTTTGCAGGCTAGATACCCTTGAACATCTCGATGAGAGAAGCTTCCAACATAGCAGGACCAAAAGGTTCATCTGAAATCCAAAGTACAATCATTTGAGACCACTTTTCTTTTGCACGGCAGTAGCCATAGAGTGAGTTTCCCCAACGCCAGCATGGGTCATGAGTATACCCCACTTTAAAAATAAGTGGCTCATGCTTCTCAAACAAGTTTTGTATGGCATTGATGCAGTGCAAAAGCACCTGCCCCGCAGTGATGTTTTGACAACGGGGTAGCTTGAAAGCAATGCTGCCCATGGATGCTGCCTGCAAAGCAATGGCACGGAAACTCGGGTTAGACTGCAAGCTGACTGGCGCCGAGGACACCCAACCCGGCAACATTGATTTTCCCTTGGTCTGGTTGTCCTCTTTCACATTGCGATTCACCAAACTCCATGGGAAGGGGCCATCAGATTCCTCGATCAAACACATATATACACATGCATGCATAGGTATATATTTCTTTGCAATTCCACCAACACATGCAAACCTGTTTTGTCTTTCGTTATACCATTCCTCCATGTACGAAAAACACTGCCGAGAGTCAGTGCGGTGGCAAGAAAGTAGTTCAATTAGTTCGGCTTCTACGGCTTCATCGTCCATGGCGCTGTGAGGCAGTAAGCCCACGTGTTGCCTGTTCAGAGAATCTGAAACCTTTGAGACATTGGCTCCCGTTGGAACGAGTGTTGACTTATAGAACTGTCCAACTCATATATACCTTTTAAAAATCCATCCACTCTTTTCCATCCACCCAACCTGAGATATACAAAGGAGCTGCGGTTGAGGGTTTATAGAAAGTCGATTGACTCGCACCAGATGAATGGTTTGGATCTGAAGCCGCATCTTGAGGCGCGGACACCCTCGCCGATCTCTCCAGCCAAAGCCCTCAAAGCGTTTCCTGCACCTGGCTCGCATGGGAGTGGGCATGGTGTGAAGACTGTTTGGGAGTCTTGGGATGGGCAAAGGGATTTTGAGGCAGCAAGCGTATGTGCTAATACCTCTTTTCCACTGCTGTTCCCCAGAATCAGTGTGACATCCTCTGTTGAGATAGTGCGTGTCTAGACTGACCATCCATCTTATAGAAAGCACATATATATGCAGAAAACAAAAATCAGATATAGCCGATGGACGAGTTGCCGTGAAGAACATGTCCAATCAGGTATGGCAGATCTGACACGGAGGGATTTAGCGGCCTCATGTGGGCCTGACCCCCCGCAGGAGTGAGACCAAAAGCAGTATTTCCTGCAGGTTCCAAAGGGTCACATGATAGGATTGCCCCTAGCAATCCAACCCATACACTTGTATATACATTATATACACATCACTTCTGACTCTTCTGTTTCTTTTCCTTACGTTTCTTCTCTTTGCTCGCTGGCTCAGCTGACTTCTCTCGTTTGCGCGTGGTCTTCTCTGTCTTCTTGTCTTTCTTGTCACTCACATCACCATCCTTCTTTTCGTACTTCTTGGCATTCCTCATTCAAAAGAGAGGTTTAATCAAGCCTTCACGCAAATCAATCGAAGGAAGCATTCCAAAAGACACTGCTTGCCTGGGTCGATTGTGCATGGATTGAGGTTCTGACCGCGCTTTGGTTTCTGCTGCGCAGGCCGCGGAACACCTGAGCACCGGATGCATTGGGGGCTTGGTAATGGTGATTATATATGCAGATCGAAGTCTATACAGCGTATTGCGTTGAGGTTTGTTGAGCATAAGATCCTTACGCATAGGTGGCCGTGTTCATGGCATTGGTCGCGGTCTCCACGAACCTTCATAGCGTTGCGAGGGTTTGCATTGGTGATCCCAGTTTCCCCCAAACACACATGCATTTTTTAGTCAGAGGTCATTCCAATTGCTGTTAAAGCCTTTGTCTCACGCACAGACCTTGCAGCCCAGAAGCTCCTTTGGGAATCCTGTAACCTCCCCGTTTGCCATGACCGCATTGCAAGCATCGTACTGGGCATCCAGTTTGCCGAGTTGGCTCTCCAACTCCTTCACTTGCCTAGCACATGAGTGGCAATCTCCATGCATTGGTGGTTGCAGACTAAATGGACACGCTTTCAATCAACATATTATATAGAGGTCCGGCCTGGTCATCACGTCACTCTTGTTATAGCAATCCTTGATATCTCTGATAAGAGCCCGGATCTTACCAGATTTCTGAATCATGGAGTCCAAAAACTTGCGCAACTTAATCTTCACCTGCGAACGCAGAAACCATGTCTGTTTAAAGGAGATGGTG